GTTTACCAAAACATAAAGTATGTGGGAAAAAAAAAAAGAATTCATTTAAAATGAAAGGACAAGTTAGGACCTTATAAAATGCCCACGTTTCACCTACTCATTGCTGAAGGCATTGGCCTAAAAAATAGTTATCTGCATATTTTGGTCTTTTACGTATGTAGTTCCAGGTATCAGGAGACTGAGCTTTAGACCCTGGTGACCATCAGTGGCCACTCCAGTCCCTCGGCTATGGAAACTGCATAATTAAGGCGGAGACATGGCTGGTAGCGGCACAACTGGGGAAGCTCTGTTGTAGAATGTGAGAGAGAAAACCATTTCTAGGAAATGCCTTTCTTTCAAACAATTCTTTTATTTTTAAAGAACTCCAAGACCCAATGCAAAGGAAAGGTTTTTAGTTTGTTCACATAGCACTGATGCAAAATACAGACCTCAGAGAGACACGTGACCATGACTAAAACCTGACACCCCGCACAATTTTTGAACTTGAGTGCTGAGTGTGCACATCGTTTAGGGCCTTTGCCTCGCTCGTGCCTGCGGTGTGCTCTTCAGGAACTTTGCTGCTCACCCTCACTCCTCGTTTCTTTGATTAACTTTGGCCCAAGATTTCTGGTTGGAGAAAATGAAACGTACCTGAAATGAATTTGCGGGTTACCTTTATAGTTCATTTACCCACGTTGTCCAAGGTGTTCTTGGTGTCCTCTTGAGCAGACATTTCTGTCACTCAAGAGACAGGAGCTCAGTTGTTGAGGTGGGCCCGGGCTCGGACAGTGAAGTGTGGGTCCCTCTTAAGACCTTCCACTCATTGGTGCCCCACTGCTCACTTGAGAGCCTTCCCTCCCAAGCTTTCTGAGTGGAACTCTCCCACCGCTGTTCTGTGAGGGGATGTGCTGGGCGTGTCCTGCAGACAGACAGGCTCTCTGTGCTTGAAGAAGTAGGTCTGGGAGGATCATGCCCTCCAGAGAAGAAGTGTTGGTAAGAAGTGCAGAGAGGTGAATTCTGACGATGGCATTTGAGTTTTGCCATTCCTGAACTTTGGTTATGGAAACCAAAAAAGGAAATCGTTTCTTGTTAAAGCTGGTCTGATTTGGATGTTCATGAATCCTCACAGCTATTTTTAAAAACCTGTGCATTTCTAAACACTTGTGTATAAACCTCACTCAGCATTTCCCTTCAAACAAGTGGTTATTTTATACAAGCATGCTAATGAATAATGAGAATTTATTTTGTAAATCAAATAATCACATTCAAATTTATTTTCTATGTATATACAAATTTTTAAGCGTAAGATTTACTTATAACTAACCACTGTTATCATTATACAATTGTATGGAATTAATAGTTGAAATTCAGTTGTTCCAAGTGGACGCTATTCTAGTATTTCATATTCAACTTGAACAGTTAGAAAAGTGTATGTTACATATAATTATTTTATTTTAGATAATAAAAATATTACAATTACTCCATTGGATAATAAAATGCAATTGCATATTTGCTTAAGTAGCAAAAGGGCTAAGAAATGATTTGGTCTATTATCAAAGGAACATAAGTTTAAATCTGTAGAAAGATAAGTATTTTCCCAACAAAAGGCTAAACGTTCTCAAACATTTTATATACATAAACAATAAATTATTTCCATTTAACATGTTTTTGCTTTAGTGCTAAAAAAGCCACAACAAATTTGATAATATTAAAGTCAATGTTTTCTAGACATGAGTTCTATAGTACCACCTAGGTGGTGTTTGTTTAGAATGATGCAAAATTCTCAGAACACGGCATACAAGGGTGCAGGAAGAGACACACTTGTCAATACTGACACGGTTAATTAACAGGCAGATGCTGGAAAGGAGGAGGTTAGCAAGTAAGGGGGAAGCTTACGTCACTAAGCACAGCAACAGAGGGAACAGCAGTATGGAGGTGAGACAAAGATGGGCTAGGCACATGGAGTTATGTTTGCTGAGGCTCTCAGGACTTTTGTTTTTCCAATGTTCTGAGACAAATGCCAGCAAGACTTCTGGTTTGAGTCAAGCCTTTCAACTGAGGTGCTTGGTGTACTTCAGGGAAAAACACTCGTTTTAAAAAGATTCAGACTTAGTTTTGCTGGATATTCAGCTAGAAAACAACCAGCTGAGGGACTAAAACCAACACAGAAATAAAAATGCTTGCTTCCAGGAAATAAATGTACACCCAAACAGGTTTTGCTTATTTATGGTGCAGGAAAGGAGTGAAACTGAGGCTCTTTAAAAAAGCTAAAGGGGCCAAGTGCAGTGGCTCATGCTTGTAATCCCAGTACTTTGGAGGCTGAGGTGGGAGGACTGCTTGAGCCCAGGAGTTCAAGACCAGCCTGGGCAACACAGTGAGACCCTCTGCAAATTATATTTGATTTACAAAATAAATTGGCCAGGCATAGTGGTGTGCATCTGTAATCCTAGCTACTCGGGAGGCTGAGGGGGAAGATCACTTGCACCTGGGAGCGTGAGGCTGCAGAGTTATGACTGTGTCACCGCCCTTCAGTCTCATGACACAGCAAGACCCCGCCTCTAAGGAAAAAAGTAAATAAAGCTAAAGGGCAAAGGAGAGGTTAGAAGAAAGCAGGAATGCAGAGGTGAAATGATTGATTCAAGAGAAGGGACTACAGGTGTTGTTCACTTGAGGTTCTGCTGCAGGCCCTGGACAGTGTCCCCTCCAGCTGTGTCTACATGGGTAGTGTTCAGGATAGCGCTGTGGCTGATTTCCCACACACAAGACACAGATTGCTACCTGGAAGTTTTGCCAGCTATCTTCCCCCCTTCCTAGTGCCAATGACTACATTCCTAGGGTGATATGAATTCTCATGAGCCAGAGTAGCTCACAAAGTCTCAATATTGCGTCTAGCCATGGCATGCTCACACTGCTCAGATGTCCCAGTTAGCAGTGGGAAGGAAGGGTACACTTGTGTTTTTGGCTCAAATGCTCTTAGAATATAATTGACTAAATAAAGAGAACATAGTCCTGAACCCGCCTCACCTCCAGACACTCATGCAGCCTACACCATCAAAAGAAGAGTTCATCATTCCCAAGGCCAAAAAAAAAAGCTACTTCGGTACTGCAGAGTGCAGAGAACTCTACAGCAGAGTCAAAGACCCAAGTTCAGTGATAGAATGATGCAGCCTGCTATCATCAGGAGGAAATGACATGGGGGAATACTTTTAGAAGATCCAAGAATGTCACTCCACCAATGGTATTCAAAAAATATTTCATCAGGATATAAGGACACTTCACTATTTTTGCCCTATACAAGGTTAGCATTTACTTTGAAACATCATTACACATGGACCTTTTTCATCTTGGGCATCTCTATTTGGAGGCATGACTTGATAAACCTGTCAGGCTCCGCTGCCTTTCTCCAAGCTCTGACTAATCAGTGGCAGGAAGCAGTTCTGAATGTGGCCTTAAGAAGATGCCGTTCGATATGTAAGGCAACTGCTAAATGTTCACTTTCCCGGGGCCACTTCTCTGAAAGGGGGAGAATATATTGATAAAATATTTTATTAAGCAGTTAAATCAATTTCTGATCCACTTGAGAAACATTGAATTATGAGATTTCCCTGTGAAATGGTTCTCACTAATGCAGAAGTACTTGATATTATAAGGATCTCAGAATCTTTGGACTACACAAATGCTTTCTACAAGGGCAACGCCTTACACTTCCCCAGAATTTAGAAGTGACATCCAATGGACGGAAGGTAGCCTTTTCCTCTGTGACTGTGGTTGGAATGGTGGCAACGGGTAATTCATTCTACCAATCTGATCAAGAACTCATGTGGCTTCTCTACTGTACTAGACTGTGTGCATATGTGTGTGTGTGGAGAAGACGGAAGAGGTTCTCAGTGCCACTGTTTCTAAAACGCGTATTCCTGCCTATGTGCCAGTCGTTCAAGTTAGATGAGAATAAGCTTCTCCAAGATAACCCCAGTTGTACCTAGAATGCATTTGTTTTAAATACAGAGGTAAGATATGTATGAGAATGTCTTTACCAATAAAACAAATCAATCTAGATGCTGCCAGGCATCACAGTTCTCTAATTTTGAAAGTCTACAATCTGACCTGGGCATGGGCACATGCGTATTCAACGACATAAGCTTCATTTACAAAAAGTATATACACTATTTGGACATTCAGATATCCCACAGAAGGAAAGGTGAGAGAATCCCTTGCATGAAAAGCAGATGAAGACCAGAAGAAAGCAGACGCTGTCCCACAAACTCAAGCAGAGTTCCATGCCGAGGATCAGCAAGTTTTCTAGGTAGGTAACACCATAAGCGGAGTATTATTACAGTTCTCAAATCACGAGGGAAAGGAAGATGAAAAGGGGGGGCGGGGAATTGTGCATTCTAGGAGGTAAAAGACAGTCCCCATTATAAGTACAATGTACCAATAGGCAATAGCATTTTCTAGCCGGAAGGCACATTAAAAACAACCACAGCCATAATTTACTAAGACAATGGAAACCAAGTTAATAAAAGACCTCCCTTAGGTGTAGAAATGACTGTCTTATTAACATAACCACCAAAGACAGTTGAAATATACTCTGGTACTGGGACCAGCTGATGTGGAGGGTTGGGCCACTGGAAGAGGGTCTGGAGCTCTTGGTTCTGTTTCAACGATTCTTCAGCATGCATTAAAGCCACTGTGCCCTTTCCATAGACCCCCGAATCCTCTATGTGACAAAAGATATAAAACTGTGGAGAATTACACATGTTTACTCTTGGAATGCACCACAGATTAGGCCAGGCTCACTAGTCCAGCTGCGTGGAGTCTTCAATGCACTGTCCACCACTCAGTCACAAAGTCAACTACGCAGAAAAGGTGGAAGGAATGATTATGGAATTCCTGACATCTTTACCTAGGTTATTTGCCCAAAATTTACACAAAAATAAAATACATTAAGTCAAAATCAGGGTTAAAATTTTAAATAAAAAAAGAGATAAAAATCTGATATTCTTAAGGCAAAACAACAGAAATCTCTTTAAATAGACACTTTATTATATCCACAGGCGATAAAATCCCAGTGCTACTGTTAGGCACGTAAATATAGATCCTGTAAGAAAAAAATAGTTGAGAGTACTATTAGTTTTATTAACAGGTACTTGAGGGAATATCTTTTCATTAAGAAAACACATGTATTCACCTATCTGCCAAGAAAATTAAAAAAAGAAAACCTAGAAACTTAGATTGTTCCCCAATGTGCCATTCTGTAAAAAGAATCTGCCTATTAAAGAAACAAACCTCACACCTTGAAATCATCTTCAAAGTATACATGTAACCAATATTCAAGAAAACTTTTCAAAGAAAAAAGTTTAGAATCACCAAAATCCCATGGTCACAAAGTATGTGTATGTGTATATAGGGGCACATACTTTCATGTAAAGAGCAAAACTTCACAGTTAAATAATGCAGATAAATGAAGTTAAATAATGTAACTTTAAAATTTTGATTCATCCAAAAGTTAAATATGACTTGAAAAATGGCTAATTTTTTTGGGAGGGGTACATGAATCAGCAAAATAACTCCCCAAAAGGAATGTCACTCACTGAAGCAGAGAGGTCACACTCAACACAAACTTCCATTTTACCCATAAAATAGTCCCTGCTTTGAATTTCACTAAAATCCCAAATAACAATAGTTCAATTTTTGAAGCTTTCTTCTTTCACAATTCAAGTATGAAGAGTTTCATTCCTATGAGGCTTGGCTACAAAGGCCCAATTTGTATCTTTCCCCAAATACTACATAAACTATCTTACCACATATAAAATTCTATCAATTGTAAAGGACACCATTACTTTATTTACTACTAAGAAGGAATAAGTGCCATTTAGAGTATGATACTCCCATCTACTGGAAACTGTTAACTCCTCTCTCTTCCTCTTTGGTGACTTCTAACTGCAGAGATGCTAGAATATTTTTTAAAGTGTATAAATCAACGCAATGCGGTATCTGTCACCGACTTACTGTATCAATTTGACTTATTTTCATGTTGTTTTAAATACTCAGATATTAAATAGCTTACCTGCTAAATATTTAATATTATCAAGCTTGTGCGACTCAAGCATGGTTTTGAGGCCAGCAACCTCAGTTTCTATCTTTCTGTCTGTCTGGGTGAGGGCCCGGTCTTGCTGGGCATGCTTTCAAAACAAAGAGAATAACAGCATTAGAACACTGCCCCGTCCCGTCTGTGTTCCCTCCCAGCTCCTTCCTGACAGGGGGAAGTCACAGGGAGGCTCAGGAAAGACTAAGGGGACCTGGCCTTTAGTCTTCATTCTACCATCCTCACACGATGCTGCACTGGTCAGAATCCTTAACCTCTTCGGGCCTCAGTTATCTTCTGTTGGGGAAAAAAATATATCATTGGCTCTGCCTTCACATAGGCTGTTTAGGAAATCAGATGTGATGATCTATGTGAAAAAGTTTTTGGAAGCTCTAGGTTATTCTACTTATGATGTCGCATTATGAAGCCAATCTGTTCTCAATGGCAATGACTACGTCTCATCCTTCTAAATCCTCCTCAGTGAAAGGTGCACGGTGAACACGGAAATGCTTGCAAGAAATGAACGGAGCCTCAGGTAATCTAAAAGCAGCAGTGCTTGTCTTGACACTCTTTCTAGTCACAGTTTTTTGAAGGTTTCTTCTTTCGCAATTCAAGCATCAAGAGTTTCATTACTATGAGGCTTGGCTACCAGCGTCCAATTTGTGTCCTTCCTCAAATACTATACAGTCAAACTTGATATATAATTAGCCTCCCAAAGGCAGTGGGTTTGGTTGATGCTGTAAAGGGGCTGTGTGATTGCATTAATGCATAAAAACACTGAGAAGGCTTCACTAAAACTCCTAGAGCACCTAAGTAGTTCCCTGCGGCTAGCAGGCAAGGGAATAAGGCAACAAGTGCCTGGAGGCATAGAACAGTACTCCAGAGGAATATTCCACTATTCTAGGGCTCTCGCATGGAAAATTTCTGTGGCTTCAGAGCCCCCAGGTAACACAGGATGGAAAGGGAGTCCTGCATGTCATAAGTAAAAACTATAATATAAAAACATTAGACAAATCCATTCTTTAATGATGGAGATTTAAACTTTTAAAATAAAACTTTCATTAAGAAAATTTAAAATTTAAATTTTTCATTAGGATAATTATTTTTCATTAAGATATTTTGTTAAATGAAAAACTTTTATAACACCCACTTATGGGTATATACCCAAAAGAACTGAAAGCAGGGACTCCAACAGGTACGTGCACACCCATGTTCTCTGCAGCCTTATTCACAACACCCAAAGGTGGAATCAACTCAAGTGCCCATCAACAGATGAATATGGTCCTTACATATAATGGAATACAACTCAGCCTTAAAAGGAAAGAAAAACTCAACTTACCATTTGCAACAACATGGATGAATCTTGAAAACATTATGTTAAGTGAAATACCAGTTACAAAAAGACAAGTACTATATAACTCTAGTTATATGAGGTATCGAGAATAGTTAAATTCAGAGATACAAAGTAGAATGGTGATTGCCAAGGGCTTGGGGAAGGAGGAACAAGGCGTTACTGTCTAAGGGGTATAGAATTTCAGTCTTGTAAAATAAAAAGAGTTCTGTGATGGACAGGGGTGATGGGTGCCCCAAAATATGAAAGTACTTAATACTACTCATACTGCATACTTAATGGTGCTTAAGACGGCCATTTTCATGTTGCATGTAGTTTAGTAAAATTTTTAAGCATCACTAAACCTGCATAAATCTTTCTATAATACATAATTACAAACAGCCATGCATGGGATGAAGCAGAAAGGAATAAAATGACAAAGAAAAATAAAAATCACATTTCTTACCAATGCCATTATTTCTGTTCTCAGTTCTAGCAGTTTCCTTTCATTTAGTGAATACTGAAACAAACATGTAACACAGGTTAGATCCTGAACTACGCCTCTCTTCTCCTTCTCTGGTGCCTTAAATACTCAGCACTCAGTACTTTCTAGAATAGGTAACACCAACAGATCGCCTCTGGGATAAAGGAGCTACCTGTCGCTTTCTTTACATTGTTATTTGATGTTTCTTATTCACACCCACTCATTCTTCCAACATCTGGACCCCCTTTTGTCACCTGTCACCTCTCTGCCATGTTCCTCTTTTCCTGTCTTCACTGCCATGTCTTTCAGTCCCTCCCACTCTGACAACAGCATTCCCTGGGACCAATTTAGATGGATGTTGAGCCATATGTTTTTTATTTTTATTTTTATGAGGGCTGACAATGACAGAGACACAACTCAATTTAGGAGCTATCCTATCATAACTACAAGTAAAACAGGTCACTACTTAAGGCTTAAATAAAAGACAGGAAAGATACACAGTTAGAGAAAAAATAGCTGTGAGGAATTTTACTCTTTTTTTTTTTTTTGCTGGTACTGAACAAGGCTAGTCGGTAGCACTACCAAATGTATGTTTTTTGTTTTGTTTTTTGTTTTGCTGAGTTGGAGTCTCACTCTGTCGCCCAGACTGGAGTGCAGTGGCCACTCCCAGCCACCGCAGCCTCGACCTGTTGGGCTCCAGTGATCCTTCCGCCTCAGCCTTCCAAGTAGCCGGAATTACAGGCATGCGTTACCACGCCCAGTTGATTTTTTGATTTATTGTAGAGATGAGGTCTCGCTGCCCAGGCGGGTCTCGAACCCGCGGGCTCAAGCAATCCACTCACCTCAGCCTCCCAAAGGCGCGGGATTACAGGCTGAGCCACCAAGCCCGGCTGGAATTTTATTCTTTGACAAAGACATTGTGCTGTGATTATAAAACACAATGTAAATACATAAATACAAGAAATATGCTACATCACCACATATTGGTTTTAATAGTAAATTTAAAAAATACACTTGGGTGCAGTTACAGTTCAGTGTTACTAAAGGAACTGATTAAATCTATCTAGAATTAAAATATCTTGCCTTTGGCTAGTAATGTCAGTGAAAAGACTTAGTGCAGTTTCGTTGATACTAAGTCAGAAATCAGACTTATCTCCTTAGTACTGGGCATTAGGATTTAATTGAGCAAATGACAATCTGTAATTTTTTTTTTTTTTTTTTTCAGTTGGAATCTCACTCTGTCACCCAGACTGGAGTGCAGTGGCCGCTCCCGGCCACTGCAGTCTCAACCTGCTGGGCTCGGGCGATCCTTCCACCTCAGCCTTCCGAGTAGCCGGAATTACAGGCATGCGCTACCACGCCCGGCTGATTTTTGATTTATTGTAGAGATGAGGTGTCGCCAAGTTGTAAAGTCTAAATTAACATTGTCCTGAGGGAAAAAGTTCATGTCTTGAGGAATACAGAAACTTCCTAGCTATATAATGTCCTCCTGGAACTATGAGGGAGATAAAGTATAAAAATAGCACTGTTGAGAATTTAAAAAGTAAAAACGAACAACAAAAAACCCTGAAAAGCCCCCAAACCGCAAATCTTAGTTTGCTTTAGACTAGTCACAAAACCAAAGAACAATGCACATTAAATGTCAGGGTTTTAGGCCAGGAGAGCACGATGCATCAATTGCCACTAGAGGGCAGTGTGGAACTGGACTTTTTTGCACCTTTAAACTCTTGTCTTCACTAACACAATTATTGATTTATCCACAAGAGAAAAGCCTAAATGTTGACACTGCCATGATTTAAAAAAAAAAAAATGTCTCCATCTCCCTGCACCTCAAATCTACATTATGTATCATACTTCTTTTGAAACTGTCTGCAAATACCACAGTTAAATTAATTTGATATTTAATCTACCAAGAGAATGAGAGGGCCAAATAGCTCTTCTTCAATGCATGTAACATGCATACTAGCTGCATAATATATTACCACCTGTGCTTCAGAGTAATCTCAGTCTAGGATTACCAAGAACAACTTCTCAGCTAGGTTAGTAAAACAAATACATTCACTGGTTTTAATCCTCTATTTAGTATTATATTTTCCAACCTAGTGCTTCTCAGCTTGGTTAGCTACAGGCACATAATCATCTACAAAGTCAAGTGAATTTAGAGTTTTTCCTCAGTACACAACCCACAGGGAAAAAGGTAACCAAAAGAGTTTCTCCTCTTCTAAATACTAGGCATACACTTGTGGTCGTTAAATATCTTAGTAATAACAGGGTAAAGATTTAATCTTCATGACTGAAAAGTGTTCAAGAATAGAAAGACAGGTTACATGGCCATAATAATTATTTTTCATACTGGTGCTTAACTCTTGAAATCCAGGGGCAGTTTCAAAGCACAAGTAGTTTACTTGTTTGAATTTCAGTATTAGGTTAATTTATCATTACAGCACATTTTAATTAAAAGCAAATTTAAAAAATGGGAAGACAATGAACACAGGTGAGTACTCAGTTGCTGCATGTGTATTCAGTTTTGTGTTAGTGAAAAATGCTCTATATGCTATGCTTCTTATTAGGCCAAGAATAAAAAGGTGTCTGACTAATGTTACCAAATTGAATAAAGTCTGAGCAAGAGGACAGGTGAATATCCAGACAGGGTTAAAAATCACTTGAGGCAACCTTACACATACCTTTATGAGGACATACAACATCTCACTGTATTTAAAAGACAATATAGAAATCCATTTTAATCTTGAATTTCAGTGTAGGACTTATTATTTTATATTAATAATTTAATGTTATTCAACTCTGAGATAATCAACTTAACTTTTAAAGACTGGGGCCTGTGGAGATTTAAGTATTAAGCAGATCAAAATTGAGTTTAATTTCTTTATTAATGTCTATGTAACATGTCTAATATTACTAAAACAAATTATTTAAACTCAATTTGGCCAAGATTGCAGTGTTACTTTTGAAAGCATCAAATTTGAGCCCTAATCCAAAATACAATTAAAAGAAAGAAAAACTGTCTAACACCAAAAAGTAGGTATATTGAACAGTATATGTGTGATCTGTATATGAACTTAAGACTTAACCAAGCATTCTCCCAAAAAGAAATTAATTCAGAATTTATTGTTAACAAACGAACATACCAATTCTTTTACTCTGCTTTTTTCTAGATTGAAGTCTAATTTGGTATCTGTTCGGACTTTGATCACTTCATCCTAGTAGGAAGGTAAACAATAAAGAGAAATCCCAGGTAAGAAATCCAAACCCTCAGGACACAAAGCTGAGCCCCTTCCTCCTCTGCCTATCTTCTAAGGAGCCAGCCCAGGGAAGGGCACAGCCAGAGATTTCCAAAGGAACTAACTGAGGGCCTCATAACATCAGGGGACTCTGGTCAAGGCATGTATGGAGTCATCTCTGGCTCAGGGCTTCCTGCCACATATACAAATCACCCCCTTTCATGTATAAGCCAGTCTAGAGTGGGTTATTGCTGCTTTTAACCTCAAGGGTCCCCAAATAATCTCCAAGTGGAATCTGCAAATAAAGCTGTTTCTTAGACAATTTTAGAAACCTAAGATGAACTGAAAGAAGCAAAATATTAAATTCTGGTTTAAATAAGGTCTTTTCTCTGGTACTTGGCAAATATTTTCTTCTTTATTTTTAAGAGACAGGGCCTGGCTCTGTCATGCAGGCTAGAATGCAGTGTCATAATCATAGCTCACTACAGCCTCTACCTCTGGGACTCAGGAGATCTTCTTGCCTCATCCTCCTGACTATTTGGAACTACAGACACACACCAACATACCCAGCTACTTTTAAAATTTTTACACAGAGAGGAAGTCTGGGTGTATTGTCCAGGCTGGTCTTGAATTCCCAGCCTCCTGCCTTGGCTTCCCAAAGTGTTGGGATTACAGGTGAGAGCCCACACATCTGGATAAAATCTTTTCTTAACATCAATGTTTTTTTCACTTAAAAATATTAAACAGCTGGGCTCGGTGGCTCAGCCTATAATCCCGCACCTTTGGGAGGCTGAGGTGAGTGGATTGCCTGAGCCCGTGGGTCTGAGACCCACCTGGGTAACCTGGCGAGACCTCATCTCTACAATAAATCAAAAAATTATTAGCAGGGCATGGTAGCATGTGCCTGTAGTTTCAGCTACTTGGAAGGCTGAGGTGGAAGGATCTCCAGAGCCCAACAGGTGGAGGCTGCGGTGGCAGGGAGCGGCCACTGCACTCCAGTCTGGGCGACAGAGTGAAACTCCAACGCAAAAAAAAAAAAAAAAAAAAAAAATTAAACAGTTGGCACAGAAAGTATTTTAAAAAGTAATGTGTAATTTTCTAAAGACAGTCTCTTCTAAGAGAACCTAAGGTTGCTACTGTGAGGCTACTTTAGAAAAATTTTGACTTAAAAATGATATAATTCCTCCTAGAATGTAATTTTTTAAATGAATTTGGTTACAGACATCAATAATTCATTCATTGGCTAAATGTCCTTAGCTAATATTCCAGTGTGTTCTTTTGAGGCATATTACACAAAATTTCACATAGAAGTGAGTTTTTAAAAACATGTATTTCTGGTATATGTATTAATAAGCTGATATAATTACAAACAGGTCATTAATCAGAAAGAGAATCTTACCATCACTTGTTGTTTTAACTGATGTAGTTCGAGTTTTATTTTCTAAAAACACATGAAAAAGAAGCAAGTCAGGGATATATTTAGAAAGTCAGAAGAACAATATAAAACTTGGGAACCAACAAGTAACAACATTTATGTAGGCACAAGTACTTCAAATTCTTACCTCATTCAACACAAATTTGACTATATTCAGAACACAACATTAACTGAACAGTTCATGTGTGTATCTTAAAATCAGCTTGCAGGTTCCATAAAATTAGTAACAAAATTGTTTTTAGCTTACACATTGGCCTTCAGCGACCCTGCTTTTCTTACTACTTCCTCCACTTTTTCTTTTAGCTTGTTCTGTTCTCAAATAATTGATTTCTAAGACAACTTTGAAAGCCTGAGACTTCACCTTTTTGCTAGAAGATTTTACATGAGACTAAGATCAACAGGCCACCAATGGCCTTCCCATATGGGACTTTAGAAAATAAAGATGCACAGAAAGCCTTACTGAAATGTGGATCCTATATGCTGCTAAAGAAACAAAAGGGATATTTTGTGGCAGCACTTAGCCATGAATACCAATCCTGGAAACAATTTGAATCTATGGGGGGGGTTTCTCCAGAAAAACCGGAATTATTTTTTTGGAGGGCAGGCCCCTTGTAGTACAGCCTTCCTTTGCTGGTAAGTGATCTAGGAACCCACCAGCATCAGTGTACCAGCTAGTGCTGCTGTGAGAGGCTGCGTTCAGCTTTAGTGACATTGCTCTGGAGCATCTTTCAACGTATTTGCCCATTTCATCATGGGTGACTTATGAGCCCACAGTGCACTGTGTTCAGCAGTTTCTGACCAAAGATGGCATGACCCTGTGTCCCACCCTCCTTATCTACCTGATCTCGTCCTGAGAGATATTTTTGTTTCCCCATATGAAAAAGTCCCCAAAGGGAAACGTTTTGCCAAGGTGGAAGAGGTAAAACAAAAAACAGCAGAAGTACTAGAAGGCATCAAAACTGATGAATTCAAAAACCGTTTTGAGCAGCAGAAAAAAGCATCTCGATAGGTGTATTGCATCAGACGGAGAGTACTTTGAAGGTGACTGAAGTTTAAATGTAAAAGAATAAATACACAATATTTTATAAATAAATTCTTTTTTTGGAGGTTCCTCCTCATACATCACAATAGAATGGCGCAGCATATTCCTACGATACTACAGACAATGAAGAAAAAAAGACCTGTTGCTACAAGACACTCTGTGTGATGCCATCAAGTGAGGTTCCTGAATAGACATAACGGGTCCACAGTGCTATCAGTCAGGGCAGGGATTCCTCCAAGGCAGGAACAATCAGACGAGACAGGAGCAGGACTCTTGGGGTGCTGGTAACGCTCTACTTCTCTATCTGCTCAGGAGTGCACGTTGTGTCAAAATTTATGGAGATGTGCACTTGTGCGTGCTTTTCTGTGCATGTACATTATTTCTCAATGTCTTAACATAATACAGTTTATAAGTGTGAGTACATTATTTCTCAATGTCTTAACATAATACAGTTTATAAGTGTGAGTGGTTCTATATCTTTACCTCATTTTCTGCTCTGAGGGCTGAAAATTCACTCTTCTCCAAAATAATCATATCCTTTTTCACATTAGCAATCTGAGACATTATTTGCTGAAGTGTGATCTCCTAGGAAAGGAAAAAACACAACAAATTATCTAGTCTATCCTAGGAAGTCCAGTTCCTGTTGTCTCTACCTGCTGTCGCCTTAATGAGACACTAGAAGAACAAAGACAAGAGAAGAGATTCAGTATTCTAAACTGAGAAAAGAGTAACAACACATCTTGTATTATTACTACTGAGAGAGTCACAGTTAAAAGGGTGGCGGTTCTGAGGACTCAAGAACATGATACTGTATACATCACACTGTAATTCTGCCATATCTCCATTTATGAAAGAATGTTTGACTGGAATAGTCAGTTTCCAAGCACAGTGAGCTTTCCAGCATAATGACTCTACAACAGTTGACTAAATAGCTTTGAATCAATATTTTTTATGCTACTGTGATCTTCTGCTTCTCAACCATGGATAAAATTGCTATATAATTTTCAACCAAATATTATCCAAAAAATTACATTAAAATATTACTACAAATAATATCCCCCCTTCAGATTTCTAATGTGCTAAGCCACCCCACAAAGCTAACCTGCTGCATCTTGGTGACCATGTCTTTGTAGATGATATCCATGTTGGCCTCCATGATCTTGACCAATGCAGACACAATGATTTCTGCTTGTTGCGCAGTAAACCCTAAGCAAGCACACAAAAACAATAAAGCTCAGAACTACAAAAATGACATGAAACTTACACATTCACGTGAATGTCTGAATTCAGAAACAGGGAGACAACACAGTGTGGCAGGAGGGGGGTCAGGAGGGTGCAGACACGAGCTGTGATGTGTTTGTCACTCTGCTGCTCTGACTGATGATTTCTTTTCTTTTTTTTTTTCTGAGTTGGTGTCTCACTCTGTCGCCCAGACTGGAGTGCAGTGGCCGCTCCCGGCCACCGCAGCCTCGACCTGCTGGGCTCTGGCGATCCTTCCGCCTCAGCCTTCCACGTAGCTGGAACTACAGG